CAGCAGGATCTCATGTCCTGAGAGTGTCATGAGACTGAGTGAGGAATGTGTGTCTGACCTGTAACACCACCTGCCATCACATTTACATAAGCTCAAACACCCCACACAAATACCACCAACACACAAACATGAGCTAACTTCTATCGCAACACGTGTGTATACAGGCCATAAAGTCAGGACATAAATCAGCCAGCAGTATTATATATGTATATTATAAAACAAAATGGAGTTAAAATGAAAATGTAATTAGGAATCAGCACTTGGCCATTAATCAAATAAGCAAATTTGTAACAATGGAGTTCATGCAGCTCAAGTGCTGCTGCCTTCTGAAATTCATGATAATTTTTCATTGTTTCACACCTTTGCATCACAGGAATAAATTACATTTCAAAACATTATTTTCAAATAGAAAACTCTTCTTTTAATTTGTAATAATATTTTTACAATATTGCTGTTTTTATTGCATTTTTATCAAATAAATGCATATGAGACATCTTTAAAAAAAAATAAATAAATCTTACAGACCCCAAATTTTTAAATAGTAGTGGATTACAGTTTAAAAAAATACCATGAGTAAAAGCTTAGCTTTTTTATTCAACATTTCTGCACAGCCTTATTTTAATTTTATTTTACACACATTTTGGTTTAATATGCATGCCGTAGTATGCAAAGAAAACATGCAATCAGTATAGATTTTTGTGTTGCTAAATACATACAGTTTGCATACTATATATGCCCACAGAGAAATCAAAGTCTAATTTCTGATCTATTTTGGTCTGTGACAGTACAAACAATCGGCAGTGAGTCACAGAGTGATCTGTCAGAGCGAGATGCCGTGTCAGCCACGAGATACTTAGACACAGTGGAAGTCCAGGCATTTGACTTTTCTGACATCTGTCAGAAGTATGACGACTGGAGTATTCACTACCTCCAGAGAGTGTGTGATGTTTGGGTACTGGGCAGTATGTTAACTGTTTAGCATTTCTGCTGCAGTATATGTGTATTTCTGCACAGTATAATCCCCTTTCAGAGTGGAGTTTTGAGATGGACAGAGATAGTTAATGTACACTGTAAAGTGAGCATGATTAAGCATGATGTGTTCGGGTGTGTGTGTGTGTGTGTGTGTGTTTGTACAGTACCTTGCTGACATCTCGGTGCTGGTAGACTTGAGCAGCTGTCTGGCTCATCTGCGTCTGAGAATAGTACTGACTGACAGCATGCATGTAGGAACTGTAGTCTCCGTATGAGGAGGTGACCACCACCTGTGACACACACAAACACATTTGTCATCATGGTGGGGACTTTCCATTGACTTCTATTGTTTTTCATGACATTTTCTATCCCCTAACTAAGCTTTGTCAGCAGAAAAAAAAACCTTCGACCTAAAATATTTACTTGAAGTACCCCCTAAACATTAATATTTAAATAATTTAACAACAAATTTGAATGTTCATGGTTCATGTCAGGTCACATGACATGCAAGTACACAAAACATTCAATTTTTTTATGATTTAATTAATTATTGGCTTCTAATCAACTCACAAACTCACAAGGTTTCGGAACCCAATTTTAGGCATTATTTAGTATTTATTTTTGAGGGTTCCAATGTGCAATGGTCACATTACCATATTGTGCATGCGTGTGTACGTGTATGTGTGTACTTACCTGAGGTTGCTCTTTTGTGCATTCAGTAACTGCAGCAGTCTCTTGGCAAGTGTTGCCGTAGGTCTGTGCTTGGTAGTGTTGGTACCACTGCTGCATGGCCTCCTGTCGCACAGAACAGAACCAATGAAACAGAATAAAATACAGTCAGACACAGCTTTAACAGGGATCTATATGAGGATCTTGACTTTGACTTTAAGACCCCGAAATACTTCAAGTGAAATCAAAGAACAAACTGGTGTGACATCATTTCAAACAAATCAGGCCAAAATGAATGTTCGTTTGGAGTTCGTTTTGGGAGTTCAAAACAGCTCGTCAAGTCTGAAAAGGTTCACTCTGGCAGATAAACACCTTTGAACTACCATTGATCCATGGCAATTAAATAATAGGAGGTGTGCTCTGGGGCTCCTCCGTCAGTATATCGGGGGCTTAAGTGACTATCCTTGCAACTCTTTTCTCTGACTTGACACCAAGTTGTGACACCAAGTTGACGGTTGGCCAATGTTGGGCCATCGTTGAGTGTATGTTGGATTAGTTTTTGTGATGGTACTAGTCAGACCCCGTCAGCAGCTTTTTGGGAGCTCGTTGAATCTGCGGTGGAACCCATCGGTGAGAGAGATGACTCTGATTAGCTGTTCAGCTTAGCGAACCAGTGGATGAGAAGAAAAACGAAAGTGATGAAAGAAAGCCAAAAGGGCACACACAGAACTCTTCTCATTGTACATCCCCAGTTCTATTTCTTCTGGTTTCCTTTTTGAATAACAAAAAGGAAACCAGTTACTGCTATGGCTGGTATAGAGAGTTATTTCCTCTCACACAGGCACAGAATCTACATGCTAGTTGGCCGTTGGCTGTAGTCTTTGCTGTGTGTTCAAGCGCAACTTTTTGGCCCAGGCGCAGGTGCGACAGCACAATCGGCTTTTGTTGCTGCTAGTTCTTTGATGTTGGTTTGGTGTGTCTGGGCCTTTACTGATCTCACTGACTCTAGTCCCAGCCTCAGATGGCATACCCAGTCCATTCACTAACAATTTGCTGCATATTGTACACAAAATGGCAACAGCTTTCTGGATTTATTGGATTTTTCAGGGGTCAGGGTACTCACAAGTCCATCGGGCAAAAAATGTGTACAAGGTACCAGGCGGCTCCAATACCCCTTGTGTCCAATCTGGAACCGTTCTGTGCATTTCCACCATTGAAAAGACACTTCTTTTCCTTCAACCACTAAAACTAAGCTGGTCTTAAACCAGGAACCACTAATGTCAAAGCCCAGGGTGCAGGATAATAGGGGCTTTCGCACTGCATAGTTCTAGGAACTTGCCAGCATGGTGGTTCCTAGAGAACCATTTTCACCCTTGGCCCGTTTTCCTGGTTGCATTCGCACTGGCAGCAAGAACTCTGAAGCGGCCAAAAGCGACGTCTTTATTCGTGGCATTTACAAACGTCAACAACCGATGAATGGAGGACGCCGTGATCGGAGCTGTTTTTGTTGTTTGTTGTGGGGTTCGAGATAACGGAGATGGAATGTAATCTCACAATTTACAAGATTGAAAAGAGTATGAAAATGTGACTAAATCTCCTAGGACAACTTGAAGTGTTACATATCATTGAGGCTAAGAAAAGAACACAACAGATAAATGCCGTTATTGCTGTTTTCCATGTTTGTGGAGTAAATATTTTTACGTGGCTTTTTAAAAATGCTGGGTAGCCGTTGTTTTGTATGTGTTTGGCCAATAAGCGTACACTTATGTCACTGGTAGTTCCTATAGAACTGTTTTAGACCCTACTCTAAAGTAGGAGCTAATTTAGTGCCTCCAAACGGAGTTCCTAGAACTAAAACCGTTCCTAGTTCCTGCGGTGCAAACACGCCAAAAGCAGATATTTTGCCAATAGTTCTACGAACTATGAAAAGGTTCCTCTGGTGCGAAAGCCCCTAATGTCAGCACCAATTAGATAAAACACAGGCTGTTTCTGACAGAAGTTCAAACCAGGATAAGCACAAGCACCAATACCATTTTAATGGAAATTGGAGTTTTTCTGAGCAAGAAGGTTTGGTGATTCATGGTTAATGGCATTACATCTTTCAAAAAACATTTAGAAATTTGTTGGAGAAACTAAAAACAGAACTAAATTTCCTAGAACTAAATATCAGGGTTGTATATGATTGTCCCATGGCTTCTGTAGGTCCCTTATATCAATGGTAGCTGAACTTGCTTCAAGAGGGCAACCATCCTGCAAAGTTTAGCTCCAACCCTCATCAAACACACCTAAACCAGCTAATCAAGATGTATTACTTATCATGTATTACTTAGTACTTATCAGACAGTTGTGTAGGAGCAGGGTTGTAACCGAACGTAGCCTTTCAGGACCAAGGTCGATTACCCCTGCTTTACATGTTTATCAAACAACTTATTCCTCTCTAAGAGGGTGGACCTTGGTCAGAATAAGCATCGAAGTGAACTAGACTTATTGCAGATAGTCTCGTTATGTGACTCTACACTGAATACATTGTACCTCTTTGCATCCAGGTGCCTGCAAGGCTAGATCTCCAGCTGTTTCCTCTTTTTTTTTCTCTCCATCTGTCTAACCTTCTGGCCTAATACGTTTCGCTAGTTTTCTCTTCTACCATTCCTTTAATACATCTCTTCCTTCTCATCTCCTTCCCATTACTCCTTTCACCATTCCCTGCTCTCTTTCTCTCTGGACACCTACAGCGTGAAAGCTCACTGTCTCATTTCACTAAAGCTGGTGGAGTGTGTGGGAGTGTGCGACCAGATGGGACAGACAACTCGCAGCCAATCTTCCTCTTCCCTCCTGCTGACAGCATGCATGTAGGAACTGTAGTCTCCGTATGAGGAGGTGACCACCACCTGTGACACACACAAACACATTTGTCATCATGGTGGGGACTTTCCATTGACTTCTATTGTTTTTCATGACATTTTCTATCCCCTAACTAAGCTTTGTCAGCAGAAAAAAAAACCTTCGACCTAAAATATTTACTTGAAGTACCCCCTAAACATTAATATTTAAATAATTTAACAACAAATTTGAATGTTCATGGTTCATGTCAGGTCACATGACATGCAAGTACACAAAACATTCAATTTTTTTATGATTTAATTAATTATTGGCTTCTAATCAACTCACAAACTCACAAGGTTTCGGAACCCAATTTTAGGCATTATTTAGTATTTATTTTTGAGGGTTCCAATGTGCAATGGTCACATTACCATATTGTGCATGCGTGTGTACGTGTATGTGTGTACTTACCTGAGGTTGCTCTTTTGTGCATTCAGTAACTGCAGCAGTCTCTTGGCAAGTGTTGCCGTAGGTCTGTGCTTGGTAGTGTTGGTACCACTGCTGCATGGCCTCCTGTCGCACAGAACAGAACCAATGAAACAGAATAAAATACAGTCAGACACAGCTTTAACAGGGATCTATATGAGGATCTTGACTTTGACTTTAAGACCCCGAAATACTTCAAGTGAAATCAAAGAACAAACTGGTGTGACATCATTTCAAACAAATCAGGCCAAAATGAATGTTCGTTTGGAGTTCGTTTTGGGAGTTCAAAACAGCTCGTCAAGTCTGAAAAGGTTCACTCTGGCAGATAAACACCTTTGAACTACCATTGATCCATGGCAATTAAATAATAGGAGGTGTGCTCTGGGGCTCCTCCGTCAGTATATCGGGGGCTTAAGTGACTATCCTTGCAACTCTTTTCTCTGACTTGACACCAAGTTGTGACACCAAGTTGACGGTTGGCCAATGTTGGGCCATCGTTGAGTGTATGTTGGATTAGTTTTTGTGATGGTACTAGTCAGACCCCGTCAGCAGCTTTTTGGGAGCTCGTTGAATCTGCGGTGGAACCCATCGGTGAGAGAGATGACTCTGATTAGCTGTTCAGCTTAGCGAACCAGTGGATGAGAAGAAAAACGAAAGTGATGAAAGAAAGCCAAAAGGGCACACACAGAACTCTTCTCATTGTACATCCCCAGTTCTATTTCTTCTGGTTTCCTTTTTGAATAACAAAAAGGAAACCAGTTACTGCTATGGCTGGTATAGAGAGTTATTTCCTCTCACACAGGCACAGAATCTACATGCTAGTTGGCCGTTGGCTGTAGTCTTTGCTGTGTGTTCAAGCGCAACTTTTTGGCCCAGGCGCAGGTGCGACAGCACAATCGGCTTTTGTTGCTGCTAGTTCTTTGATGTTGGTTTGGTGTGTCTGGGCCTTTACTGATCTCACTGACTCTAGTCCCAGCCTCAGATGGCATACCCAGTCCATTCACTAACAATTTGCTGCATATTGTACACAAAATGGCAACAGCTTTCTGGATTTATTGGATTTTTCAGGGGTCAGGGTACTCACAAGTCCATCGGGCAAAAAATGTGTACAAGGTACCAGGCGGCTCCAATACCCCTTGTGTCCAATCTGGAACCGTTCTGTGCATTTCCACCATTGAAAAGACACTTCTTTTCCTTCAACCACTAAAACTAAGCTGGTCTTAAACCAGGAACCACTAATGTCAAAGCCCAGGGTGCAGGATAATAGGGGCTTTCGCACTGCATAGTTCTAGGAACTTGCCAGCATGGTGGTTCCTAGAGAACCATTTTCACCCTTGGCCCGTTTTCCTGGTTGCATTCGCACTGGCAGCAAGAACTCTGAAGCGGCCAAAAGCGACGTCTTTATTCGTGGCATTTACAAACGTCAACAACCGATGAATGGAGGACGCCGTGATCGGAGCTGTTTTTGTTGTTTGTTGTGGGGTTCGAGATAACGGAGATGGAATGTAATCTCACAATTTACAAGATTGAAAAGAGTATGAAAATGTGACTAAATCTCCTAGGACAACTTGAAGTGTTACATATCATTGAGGCTAAGAAAAGAACACAACAGATAAATGCCGTTATTGCTGTTTTCCATGTTTGTGGAGTAAATATTTTTACGTGGCTTTTTAAAAATGCTGGGTAGCCGTTGTTTTGTATGTGTTTGGCCAATAAGCGTACACTTATGTCACTGGTAGTTCCTATAGAACTGTTTTAGACCCTACTCTAAAGTAGGAGCTAATTTAGTGCCTCCAAACGGAGTTCCTAGAACTAAAACCGTTCCTAGTTCCTGCGGTGCAAACACGCCAAAAGCAGATATTTTGCCAATAGTTCTACGAACTATGAAAAGGTTCCTCTGGTGCGAAAGCCCCTAATGTCAGCACCAATTAGATAAAACACAGGCTGTTTCTGACAGAAGTTCAAACCAGGATAAGCACAAGCACCAATACCATTTTAATGGAAATTGGAGTTTTTCTGAGCAAGAAGGTTTGGTGATTCATGGTTAATGGCATTACATCTTTCAAAAAACATTTAGAAATTTGTTGGAGAAACTAAAAACAGAACTAAATTTCCTAGAACTAAATATCAGGGTTGTATATGATTGTCCCATGGCTTCTGTAGGTCCCTTATATCAATGGTAGCTGAACTTGCTTCAAGAGGGCAACCATCCTGCAAAGTTTAGCTCCAACCCTCATCAAACACACCTAAACCAGCTAATCAAGATGTATTACTTATCATGTATTACTTAGTACTTATCAGACAGTTGTGTAGGAGCAGGGTTGTAACCGAACGTAGCCTTTCAGGACCAAGGTCGATTACCCCTGCTTTACATGTTTATCAAACAACTTATTCCTCTCTAAGAGGGTGGACCTTGGTCAGAATAAGCATCGAAGTGAACTAGACTTATTGCAGATAGTCTCGTTATGTGACTCTACACTGAATACATTGTACCTCTTTGCATCCAGGTGCCTGCAAGGCTAGATCTCCAGCTGTTTCCTCTTTTTTTTTCTCTCCATCTGTCTAACCTTCTGGCCTAATACGTTTCGCTAGTTTTCTCTTCTACCATTCCTTTAATACATCTCTTCCTTCTCATCTCCTTCCCATTACTCCTTTCACCATTCCCTGCTCTCTTTCTCTCTGGACACCTACAGCGTGAAAGCTCACTGTCTCATTTCACTAAAGCTGGTGGAGTGTGTGGGAGTGTGCGACCAGATGGGACAGACAACTCGCAGCCAATCTTCCTCTTCCCTCCTGCCTTCCCCCTCTGCATCTCTCGCTCCCCCTTCTCTCCCTCCAGCTCTCACCCACTCCTTCTCGTATTGTCATAGGAACGCCGGCAGTAATGAGAGGGAGACCCACATTTAAGCCATTTAATCCTGCTAAATTTCCTTCCCCTCCAAACTCTCTGCCAGGGAATGAGTAGGGGATCACCCTAAAGACACTGGCAGGAATCTGAGAGACTGTGGGTGGACTGCAACTCCTTCTCCTTCCCTCTCATCCTCTCCTGGAGCACATTTTCCCCTCCTCTGCGTCTGCTGAAATCTATATTTTCCCCATTTCTATTTCATTTGACGTTTTTTTGACAGCACAGTGCAAAGTGGCAGGATATTATTGTGGAGAAGTCTTGGGTAGGGCGTTTGTCGGGCACCTATTTTGCCGCCGTTCACAGTTCAGGATAGTCACTAGTAAAGGACTTGTGACTGTGTGCCATGTGGTGTTATTGGCTAATCAGCATTGACATGATGTCATCTTCCTGAGTAATTAGTCACATGGCATTTATGGCTCGGGTGATTGGCTCAAAACTTCTATGCCCAGATAGCATTTAAATCACATACTTCAGGGGGTTTTAGGTAGGGATGTGTGCGACGACTAATTTGACTGTCGTTTAAATGGAAGTTTTGTATCCGACTAGTCGACTAGTCTAAAAGCAAGAAACCCCCAAAAGATGGTAAGAAAAAAAAACATCATCTAAATCATCTAAAAACAAAATGAACAAAAAGAAAGACAGGACCTGAGGCGATTAACAATTCCTGCACTTGAAAAAACGTGCTCTGCAGGAACTGAAGTCACAGGCACGCAGAGATAATGAAAAGCAAGCCAACAGAATTTCGGAAAGCGTCTGGACATCCCGCACCACCACCGAAGTGGGTCTTCGTTAGAGGAATAGACGGTGCGGACGGGATCGCAGGTTGTAGTGAATGACGTGATTGACATTAGCTGGCTTTGGCTAGTCTCTAAGCTAACGCCTATGTGCCTGTATTGAATATGATTACGCATCGCTCCAGTAGAGTTATTGTAAGCCAATTTGACATTACACAGTTTACACAAAACTTTTCCGTTTCCTTCTAATTCAAAATAATCCCACACCTTACTCATCTTTCGCGTGGTCACTTTTGAGCTCGCTACAACTGACACGAAGAAAACTCATGCGAGGTCTGAGGTAAAAATGTAGTTTACGCCCAGATACACTTTTAAAAATAATGTATTATTTTTTCAAATGTTTTATTTTAACTTGTTATTTAAAATTTTTTAAATGTAACAATGGTAATTTGAATGATAATTATGTTTTGTTTCTTCTTTTTCTGTCGTGTAATCGACTATTGTTTTCAGTGTCGACTAGTAGGAGCTGTACCGTTTAGTCGACTAGACTCACACATCCCTAGTTTTAGGCCAGCTGAGCGACTTTCATTAGCTCCATTCACACATACAGTCTTTACTGGTAAATTACTGGTGCATAAGAGATCATGCGTGAAGAGGACCTTTTCAAAAATACCGGTAAATCAGTTCTGACAATTTTCTGGTGTGAGAAGTTGCAACTTTTACAATTTTACAAAATTACCTGTATCATGCCATGAGTGAACAAGGAATAGGATTACTGGTGTGAGGGCAGAATGTACTAATGTAAGAAGTCTGCTTTGGGCCAATCATAAAGCTCTGTAATCATGAATGCTTTTAATTGTTTTTCTATGTAAACATGCACTAGACGAACATCCAGCCATCTTGCACTCAAGACTTGCCTTCTTTTCCATTCATCGGCATTGCGGTTCTGCATTTACTATTGCTTATTATAGTACTGTAGTACTATTGGTATCTATTATGCATCTCATGGGCAAAAACACGTTTTGTGTAATCATCCCCTTATGCCAGCCACTCAGAAGTTTAGAAACATGCTGTCAGATTGGACAGAAACTAAAGTGCATCTCCTAATCCAGGTGGATGAAGAAGACGGTGCAGCTTTTAAAGGTAATTTCCAATGATTGACATCAAAGAGTTTATTTTGGTACTGATGTGTGAATGGTATCTTACCGGTAAAAAGACAGAACGCCATTGCTTGCATGAATAGCACGTTTGTGTATTTACTGGAAAAGTAATTCTGGTATTTTTATGGTAATTTACCGGGATTACTTTGTGAATGGGGCAATTGAGACAGCAGATTGCTGACAGCTTTTAACAGACCTTCGTGGTCCAAACTAGGTGAGATGTGACAAGTTGAACGTGGAGCGATTTGTCTATCCAATCACAGATATCAGAAGATATCTGATGCTTATAATGTGAAGCAGGACTTTGGTCCGATGAGATTTTGCTGTGAGGGTTACAGAACATAACAGAGCAGAAATATAAACCAAGCGATCAACTAAAAGCTCAGTCAGTTCTGATTTAAATGGAAGAAGTAACTTTTATCATTTGCCAACTCTGATAAGGACACTACAGCTCCATTCTGATGGAACTCTTTTTTTCTGTTTTGAGCATTAATTTTCTTTATTCCGTATAGACCCATCTATCTCTATTGTGCAGCTGAGCATATGGCGGAATTGTTTTCTTTCTCATGCCTCTCACTCTCTCTCTGGCTTTCACTGTCAAGTCTAGGGCTCAGTGGAAGCTTGTGTTAGAGAGAGGAATTGTGGGGGATATAATGGGGGGAGAAAAGACTTGAGAGAGTGGGCTAAGAGCGAGACTGATTGATCGCTGCAGTGAACACTTGGATTTCTTCCTGTGTCTGTGACTGTCAGCATCTATATTCCACAATAGTCAAGTACTTTCATCTGAATTCATCTGATATACAAGATCCCAAGACCACAGTTCAAACACTATCTATCTATCTATCTATCTACTGTATTTATCTATCTACTGTATCTATCTATGCAGTATTCATTTTCTTCAAGATGCAGTGATGAATAGAAAGTTCCAAAGAAAAGCATTTTTTTGTAACATTATAAATGTATAAATGTAACTTTACTTTTTTCTTACATTAAAAATTTTAAATGGTAGTACATCACAGTTTCCACAAATACATTAGGCAGAACAGCCGTTTTCAACATTGATAATAATAAAAAAAATATTAAGCAGCACATCAGCATATTAGAATGATTTCTGAAGGATCATGTGACACAGAAGACTAGAGTAATGACTGCTAAAAATTCAGCTTTGCCTTCTCAGGAATAAATTACATTTCAAACAGAAAATAGTTATTTTATATTATAAAAATATTTAACAATACTAATGTTTTATTGAATTATTGATCAAATAAATGCAGCCTTTGTGAGCATAAAAGATTTTTTTCAAAAACAATTAAAATTGAATTCCAAAATTTTGATCATATGCGTGTGTGTGTGTGTATATATATATATATATATACAGTACATACATATAATTTTTTTTCAGGTGTTGTAGTTACCTGTGTGTATTGCTGAGTGTATTGGTGAGTGTATTCTGCAGGAGTGGTCTCTGCACTATATTGACTGGGTGGGTGGGTGGCAGGTGGCAGGACTGCGCTGTACGTCCCAGTGTGCGCCTGCACAGTCTGAGGTTTACTGTTGCAGGGTGCTGCAGGAGAAATACATACATGATGTAAATCAGGGCCTGCTCAGGGACACCCATTTAGAACATCTCTCACACACACACACTATTTATCTTCTCTGCTGGTGTGGGCTGTAGCCAGTCTGGCTGTGGCCTTGAGCTGGGAGAGACAAGACAGCAGTACACTGTAAACATTATCGTTGAAAACAGAGAGCTGACAGAGAAGAGATACATTCCAAGGTCTGGCAGAAGTGAGTCATCTTCAGTGTGTGCCGTTCTGATTGTGCACGTACCTTGTAGTACCACTCCAGGAAGCACACTAGCCAGGTTTAGATATGGGTTGGAAGGCAACTTCACTTCTTTAGGGGGGTCTCCCAACAGAGACGTCTGACAACTGGACTGACTCTGTAGACAGAGATAAAGAAAGTGAGAGAGACAGGGTGAGATAGACAATATACTACAGCATTGCAGCTGCTAATCTGTAATCACCGAGTTACTCATATATAGACAATTTTTCATGGTATCTTTAACATACAGCTATAAAGATATCATAAAACATCTTTTACAATATATTTAACTTATGCATTGTGATGTATTTTTAGAGAAGCTGACCATTTAGCATGAAATAATGTAGAGTGGGATCCTCATATCATTTCCAGTCCATATGACTTTACTTTCATTGAGCACAAAAAAAGTTTCAAGTTCAAGTTCAAGTTCCGTTTATTTCTAGAACACATTTAATAACAGCCACAGGCCGACCAAAGAGCTGTACAATAAGTACAATAAGTGCAAAAGCACTATTTGAAATAAAATAAAAATTAACTAAAGAAAGAAAGAAAGAAAGAAAGAAAGAAAAAATAATAATATTTGTTCAGGCTGCTTTGCGCTTTTCCAAACATCAAAAATAGATGGTGTTTCACACTGTCAAGCATTAAAAAATAGGAAAAAATACATTATAGCTACATGTGCTACATTCCAAGTCTTTAGAAACCATACGGTACCTCTGTCACTGTCCATTTTCATGGTATAGAAAAGAGCAGCTCAGACATTCTTCTAAACAACATCTTTTTTTTCTTTCTCCACAGATATTCTTTTAAAGCATCTTTGGTTTTTCTTTCACATATTTCACAAATAAACAGCAATCCAAGAGCAAGGATTCCATGGAAAAGTACTGGCACAAAGTCTGGCATTCATCTCCAATACAGTCACACAGAAGGCAGAGCTCTCCATTAGCCTGTGTAGGGTAATGCAGTAAGTAATCAGAGCCTGCAGCACTAGTGGTCTGTCATTAGGGCTCAGAACTCTGTTAGAGTCTGTACTGAACTCTACTAGGCGTCTGAGTGCTTGTGTCTGAATAAAGACACCTCCACAGAACAGTGGAAATGGAGTTCCAGGAGGTCGACAGAAGCACTTCAGACAGAATCATAAGTATAAGCGAGTGTGTACTTTTCTGTGTTTGGTGTTCAAAGTGTAAAAAAGGCCGGTATTGTCCTTGCTGTTATTTTTATATAACAATAATAAGTATATATTGTATAGTATGTATATTTCAGAATGTTTACATTATAAAAACATAAAAAATACAATATTTTAAAAAGTTTGAGGTCAATAAGAATGTTTTTGAAAGTCTCTTATCCTCACCAATGCTGTGTTTATTCGATAAAAAACACGGTAAAAACAGTAATATTGTGAAATATTATTACAATTTAATACTGTTTTTGAATTAAGACTGTTTAACGGTGTCACATGATCCTTAAAAGATCATTCTAATGTGCTGATTTAGTGTTCAGTTAATATTTCTTATTATTATCAATGTTAACAACAGTTTTGCTGCTTAATATTTGGTGGAAATCATGATACATTAAAGGAGATTTAAGGATTCTTTGGTGAATAGGAAGTTTAAACGGACAACATTTATTTTGAAATATAAATTAAATTAATTATAAATTAATTTAATGCCTCTTGCTGAATAAAAGTATTTAAAAAATACTGACCTCAAACCTCCAAATGGTAATGAACATATTTAACTAAAACAAATAAATATGAATGATAAATACTCATCGTTCCAAACCCGTAAGATCTTCGTTCATCTTCGGAACACAAATTAAGATATTTTGAATGAAATCAGAGAGCTCTCTGACCCTCCCATAAACAGCAACGCAACTACCACATTCAAGGCCAAAAAGTATTCTCGCAGCTTCATAAAATTACGGTTGAACCACTGATGTCACATGGACTATTTTAACAATGTCCTTACTACCTTTCTGGGCCATAAAATGTTTCAGTTGCGTTGCTGTCTATGCAGGGTCAGAAAGCTCTCGGATTTCATCAAAAATATCTTAATTTGTGTTCCGAAGACGAACGAAGGTCTTACGGGAATGGAACGTCATGAAGGTGAGTAATTAATGACAGAATTTTCATTTTTGGGTGAACTATCCCTTTAAGAGTCGGCCTGAGCTTGACAGCCCCTGATCAGTTTATGTTGTCACTGTATGGAAAAGAGCAGCATAAACATTTATCAAGGTTTTTTCTTTTGTGTTCTTTAGAAGAGAGAAAGTCAAAGGGTTTAGAACGACAAATGTGAGTAAATGATGGCAAAATCAAGTCTGAGTGAATTATTCCTTTAAAACTTAAGCTCTGAAATGTCTCAGATTTCCTCATTTTTGCCTCGAGGTAAGAAATCAGAAAAACAAAAAAAGAAAACCAGGCTTACTGTAATGGAAGAATTATTCTGCACGCTTGAACTGTGGTGGTTGGCTGGAGCTTTGTGCGTTGTACTCCCCAGCAAAGGTCCCAGACTTGGTGCGTTAATTCCAGGGAGGAAGTTTTGCAGTTGTGTTTGGGAGCTTACAGAGCCTCCTGTGGTTCCTGGAGGTGCAGGCTGTTTCTCTGGAGCCAGGCATGTCGCAGTGACTCCATTCTGCTCTGCAATGGAACTTGCGTGTGAACGTCCAGGTACATATGACACCATTCCAGCCCCAGAGTTTCCACCCTGGGACGTGACCGGAGAAGAGTCTTGGCCCAACTCTACGAACCAGAGAACATTGTTAAACTACTGCAGTAAAAAAGCTTCCATTCTCAATGCATATAGTGCATACTCTGGAAAACCATAGTTTAGTATTTCAATTTCTACCTCACTGTAACACCTGCATGGCACTGATATTCAAATAGAAATGACCCTGCACAAAGGCATACTCTTCAAAGGTCTTCAATGCTTTGATGAATGCCAATACCAGACTTTGCACACACAAACAGACACACGTCTGTATAAAAGCACAAAGGAAGAAATACTGATTGAAGCAGCTGCCTCGAACTGCTTATAATGGGGCTTTCAAACAGTTTGAGGATTTGCATTGCAAATGTTTTTCCCTGTGGTAGCGAATGCGACCTCTGGACCAGGCCTGAGGTTTGCGAGCTTGACCGCTCAACCAGAAGCTCTCACCTGTGGGAGAATCTCCCAGCAACCCCTTCCCCAGAGGAACCGGTGCCGGAGTTCGAAGACCCAGAACTTTTTGCAGGAGCAGACGGGAAGGGTCGCCCAAAATTCCTGGGACCTGAAGGGAAATGAAAGAGTGATGAAGGAGAAAAGAGAGCAGACAGGCTATAATAGGGTGGCAAGTGAAAGATGAAGTACACACAGATGAGATTATAGCAACAAAAAAACATACACATGCATAAAAGAAGATTTATGTCCGCATTATTATTGCATGAATTCCTTTGTTTTTTCACTTAAATTTTCCTGTGGATGGCATTATTCTTCTTTAACCAGAACCGAAAAATTTGCATTAAAAATGCCAGTTAGATGTATGGTTCTAATACTGCTATATAAAATAAATGATGCTTTTCTGAACAAAAGCTGCAGTTTTCTCATTTTTTACAATAGAATTTAATGCAGACCAATAATGTCTTCGCAAAAAAGAATTATGAACACAATTTCAGGCTGTTGTTGAATATCATGCAGGTAAGTGAAATGTGGTAATGTATTTCTTCGTTATTGGTACGTTTGAGACGTGTGAACACACACACACAGACCCTCACATTAGTGATCTGCTTGTCTTTGATCTGTAAGAGCTGTTGTTGGGCCATCTGCATGTGAAGAAGATTCTGAAGAACAAGACCATTTCCTAGGATGGCACTCTGCATGAGAGAAAGAGAGATTGTTAAACATGCTTCATTATTCTTTTCTATTAATCTGTGAGGCAGCAGCCTATTCTAAAACATATTTCCTTCTAAAGTGTTCATCTTTGCTGTACTATAACCTTTTTTATCCATTAATGCAGCATCTACTTTATTTCTCAAGGGTGTTTCTTTAACTATGAGCACATTTGGCTTTGTGAACTTTTAGAAATTAAGCTCCCTTAAAGGGATAGATCACCCATTCACCCGAAAATGAAAATTCTGCCATCATTTACTCACTCTGTACTTGTTCCAAACCTATATGAGTTTCTTTCGTCTGCTGAACACAAAAGAAGATATTTTGAAGAATGTTGGCAAACAAACAGTTGATGTTTGACAGTTCCATACTATGGAAATCAATGGTTACCGTCAACTGTTTGGTCAACTTCTTCTGTGTTCAACATCCCACAGAAATGTATACAACTTGAGGGTGAGTAAATGATTACAGAATTTTCATTTTTGGTTGAACTATCCCTTTAAGTCAGGCTTGCGAATGACAGAAAGAGAAAATGAGTACCTGCTGCGCTTTTCCTAACTGTAGCAGCGCTGCAGTTAATGGTGGACGCAGGAAGGGGAGATTGTGAGGTCGACCAAACTTTCCTGAAGGGAAACCATTAGTTAAAGAAAATGAGAGGCAAACATAAAAGTAAATATTGTGAAAAGGAAAATAAGAAAGATGGACAACAGAAATGATGTGGTCGATATTGGTGGTCCATGATTTTCATTATTCCAAAATTCCTGCTTCATCACTAACGGCAAGTTGCTCCGGAATAGGTAGAGAAGTTTAACATTTAATCATGAGCTATATTTAGTGTTGTAATTGTGTGTTCTCTTTAAGCGCCGGCCTCCACTTCTTCCTCAGCTCATTTATTCTCCCACCCAATGAAAAGTTCATTTTAATATATGATTAGGCTTTCATCAAGAGAAAAATCTGCTCAGAATCTACAGTGCTGGTGATCACCGTTACACAGTGAACGTACACACACACACACACACACACATATGCAGAAGTATGAAAGACATTTCATCTCAGAATCTACAATCCTCGCGGGACACATTTTTGGTTCTGTCTGGAAAAGTACTTAAACGTGTTACTCATGAATATTCAATAAATTATTTGCCTAATGAGTAAAAAGAGATATTTAAGACAGGCACAGAGAGAGAGCGTTACCTCCTCGTTTGGCGGTAGGGTAGGGTCTCATAAGGACCTGGAGAGCAGCAGGATTGGTCATACTGTTGAGGAACTGGGCCAGATTGGGTTCAGGCAGTAAACCTTTCTTATTGCTCAACATCTAAAGGAGCACACACACGACAAAGATAAAAATATGAATTAATTCATTTATTATACAAAAATAAACCCATATCCAAACAAATATTATAATGAACACATAATTTTTTTTAAATCAGTATTTTATTTCTAAACATAAATAAAATATAAATTTAAATAATTTACTTGGGAATCAAAACTGCATACATTAAGAAATATCTTTTTTTTTTTAATCCAGGCAAGCTTTTCAATATAATGAAAGTGAATGGCAACTGGTGTGATCAAGCTAAAAAAAAAAAAAAACTATCATAAAAAAGCATTTCATACAACTTTTTTGTATTATATATCAATTCAAAGTAATTTCATGTTAACAGACTCAAGTTTTTATTCATATCTTTGGTAAATCTTTACATCTATCCCAGATCTCTTGGAATGTAGTATAATATATTTTTCATGATACATTTCTGTAGCTTTCTTTCTTATCTTTGAAGCTTGAAAGCTTCAGTCCCTATTCACTGTTTCTTTTGTCATGCTCCATAGAAGAAAGTAAGACTTACCCCATTGGCAAATACCTTTTCTACACAAAGCTTAAACCTCACATACAGTAAGTTAGTTAGATTTATGAAAACATTTAGAAATTTAATCGGGGTTAAAAAGTGATTAAACTTTTTTTTCCCTAAAATACTACTATCTTCCATATCTATATATTGCACATCAAGTAAATGATGTTTACTAAATAATTGTTTAGGATGTTTACAATTTAACTATAAAATCAATTTAACTTGTAAAAACAAGACAAAACAGATTAACGCTGTAAAGCCTGACATAAAAATATTCAGAAAATTTTAGTGCACTAAACATAAATATGCAAATTGGTGCAGTTGCTAATATTCATATGGCCAAAATGTTTTTAAAAAAGATTAAATTCTGTTAGCTTATAATGTAAATCAGTAAGATCTGCCAATAATAGTCTCAGTAAGGTGATATTTAAATGTTTTGTTTTAATATCCAAGCTCTGTAGTTTTTATTGTGTGTGAGTTTGTGTGTGTGTGGGTGGGTGGGCAATATATAATGCAATTCAAAACAATAATTTAGGAATTATACTAAAAGGCCTTTTATTTGCTAAAAAAAGGATAAAGGATCTATCACATGCCAAAATGCTTCTAATAGATTGTGTACAAGAGTTTTGTAAGCAAAAATTATAATTTAGAGGCCTTAGAAATTTGCATATCGGATATGATACAGTAGGCTTTATAGGGTTAAGCTTTTTTTTGCTGAGCTTCCTTGATGTCTTGTCAAATGTTTATCTGGGATGTTTATGTCCCAGCGGTGAGTGAGCATGTGTGAGTGTGTGTATCTGTTGGCATGGGGGAGATGCTTGCAGACATGCGGAACCCCTGATTAGATCTCTGATGACTGCTAGAGGTGTGGATCCATCCCAGCCACACTCCAACTCCATCTGCTGACTACTACTCCCCCACCCACACAGACATCTCCACTTGTGCACATACACACATTGTGCTGCTTTCATACTGGAATGGGTGAAGCCAAGGGTGTAACCACATATTCAGGAATGAGGGGACATAGACGTAATAATTTAAGAATCGGGAGAATGTGGAGGTAGTGGTGATGACCCTGAGTTAAGCAGCAGATGGGTGGAGTATTTGGGGAGAGGGACTGGAGAGCCTGTCTATTCATGAGAATGACAAAAGCAGGGCCGTGTCCCATCATGCCCCCTGCCCAGAGCTTCAGAGATGGATTAGCAGAGAGCTCTGCTCCTGATGTGTGCTTCCAAAGAGCCATAAACTACAGCTGAGAAACTCTATAGCATGAGACAATTGATTGAATCTACAAAAACTGAAACATCTGGTGGTTTATTGCAATCTAAATGAAGCAGGGGAGTTTTGTCAAATAACTGACTGTATATATATCTCAAACAAGAGATAAAGCACTAATTCTTTGCTAATTCAAAGCATAGTATATTTTAGAGGTATATAATATGAAGTAATATAAAATAATTAGGGATGCACTGATACAGATATGTGTCATTTGGATTAACACTAAATCATGAATATAAGTAAAAACATTAAATGTTACGTGAAATGTTCTGTATAATAAGTGGTTTGCAGCATCATTACAGGAAAATGTCAAGTGACTACTGTACCGCAGCACTAGAAAAGCTCTAAATGTTCTGCATTTAAATGAAAAATAGGACACAATGATAAAATGAACAGTGAAAGTAACAGAAGCGTGTAATACATTTTAATTAAGAATGAAAATGACTAGCAAATATCTATTTACTAAACAAATTCGGTAAGTAAGATGATTTTTTTTTGTTTCTCTACCCAATATTTAAAAAAGTACAAATGCAATAAAAATACAGGCATTAATATTAGCAAGTACTAAAAATAAAAGTACAGGTATACTACACTTTCTAAAAAAAATGGGACATGAAAAATGTAAAATAAAATAAAATAAATAAATAAATAAATAAACAATCTATTTTAACATTTTATTGTAGTTATAGTTTTAAAATGATATTTTATGAATTAATTATAATTTATAACTAATATTTATATAGTAAATATATAATATAATAAATGAATTATAAATGATATAAATAATATATTCATAATCATAATATATAAATGAATAATAAATTATTTTAAATGATAGTTTTTGTTATTTTAAAAGCAATTTAACAATGTTTAAACATGAAAAAAGCTGACTTTAATGTAACTTTAATGTAAAAAGTAATAAACAAGAACAAACAACTAAAATAACATTTATTGAATCTACATATGTTAAAAAAAAATTGTCTTAATAACATAACATCTTTGTTTAAATCAATTTGACTTTCATTACTATTAGATTTTTTTTCCTTGTCAGTTTTCATTTCATTTTCTTTTTTAAATAAATTCATTACATTATTTCATTTACATTACAAGGTTACAAATTGTAACCTTGGCACCACTTTGATTTTACTTACACATCATAAGGCAGCAACTGAACTTAAGTTTCCAATTTTATTGGGGTGATTTTTTTTAAGGTTCCCTAACTATGATTAGAACCCTAAACAAACTCTATTTGTATTCACGTTCATGTGACAATGAACAGATCTGAGGCACAGCATTGAAAATGACTGATTAAATGAACCAGTAGGCACATATCTGGCCGTTATGCGTATGAGCTGATATGAGTTCTAACCAGTGAAGAAGATAAGTGCAGACACCTGCTAGTCCCCAAGCAGTGCTAAAATTACATGACTACACTCATACACAAGCGCAACGGCCCGTCAGACTGAGGGGAAAGCTTGTGCCCTCACAGTCTGTGGATGAGTGGGTAGGCGTGTCTCAGATACAGACAGAGTGGCTCGGAGGGGTGGACTTCCTGAGAAATGTCAGCTTGCATTTGTTCTATTTGGCTTGATACATTTTGTTGGAAAAAGGGGAAGTAAGAGAGAGAGAGAGAGAGAGAGAGAGCAAGAGCAGTGGAGACATACAGCACTGCATTAAAGACCCCATGATATCAAAATTGCACTTTTGTGGCTTTCAGTTCAGGTCTGTCAGCTTTGAGGTCTTAATATATATGCTCCTGTTCTCCTAAAAATGGACAAAATTGCCAATAAGCATGTACATTTGAATTGATGGCAATCTAAAAAAAGAGATAAGCTCTTTGATATGTCCTGCTCCATTTTCCTGTTTCAATAGGACAAATGCCAACACAAGAATGAAAATGTCCATTTCCATGAAACAGTTTCATAGGGTCTATAAACATATTCCACCTTTAAAAGACCTTTAAGAACTGGCAGTCAGATATTTTATTGTCCTCCATAAGCAAAAAGCTAAATGTTGAACAATGAAATCAATTAATGTTCAGATGTAACATCCTGCTCTGGCAACAATATACTGCATCTGTCTACAGAATTAAGTCTCGAACTTGAAAAGAAATGAATACAATTAAAGAAAAGAAAAATGTTTCAATCAATGAGAACCACTATTTGAGATATGAAAGAACATGACTGTGTGTGTGTGTGTGTGTGAAGGCTAGGCTGTATATTGAGTGGTGTGAGTTCTGTGAATAAGCTTGTCACATAAACGGCATAAAAAATTATGCTAAATGCAAATAATAAAATGCAACCAACCAAAATGAGTATTACCATATTTTATGTTGTATATAGCTTTAATAATAACATTTTAATAATAAAATTAATAATTTTATTTAGCAGGGATGCATAAGGTGATAGTAAAGACTTTTGATATTAAATGATATTTCAAATAAATGCTATTCTTTTGAACTTTCTAGTCATCCTGAAAAAGTCTCATGGTTTCCACAAAAAAAAAACGTTTTCAACACTGATAATATATTAGAATGATTTCTGAAGGATCATGTGAGGCTGAAGACTGAAGAATGGATTTTGCCATCAAAGGAATAAATTACATTTTATTATATATTCAAATAGAAAACAGCATTTAAATTGTAATAATATTTCACAATATTTCACAATTTTACTTTTATCTTATCAAATAAATGCTGCATTGATATGCATAAAAGACTTCTTTCAAACACATTGAAAAAACTTACTGAACCCAAACATTTGAATGGTAAAGCATATATTAAATATAATGTAACACAAGATATGAATATATTTCAAACCTTTACTAAGAAGTCCAATGAGGGAATTTAGAGCTTAAGTCGAGTCTTAATCATAAGCTTTCCAACATGGACAGCAAGCTAAATAATACGCTTAACTTTATCTTCCTGAAGGATTACACGAAAATGTGAACCAGACTGCATAAAAACAGATTCACCTGCAGCAAGAACAAACATGGTTTGTGTCGACCACAATGTGTATTACATAGTGAATTATTGTACGCCAAGAGCATGAAACCAAATAATTAAAGATACGTTTAGAAACCAAATACTCAAACTAAGACAATCTGAGTCCTGAAGCAAAACCTGTGTTTTGGAGAATATCAGCTAATGCTGAACACCACTGACAGTGTCTTCAGGACAGGCTGCTGGTTTATGTGGATCTGTCCAGCATGATGAAAATAGCCCTGCGATTTATTTCAGGCCTCGGAAATGCAGCGGAGATCTGGAGATGTCTGAAACAGCAGGGTTTGTATGAATACTGTAATTAAACTGTCACCACTGCTGTTTCACACATGCACGTGTGTGCGTTAATGCTTCTGGATGAATATGTGAGAAACACTCTTGTTGCTTGCTATGTGGCGATAAAGAGAATGTCACTGGTCCCTTGTGAGCGTGCACGTCACTCACCACTCCCTGAGCAGCGATGAGGGCAGCGAGAGTGCTGCGTCCAGAGGTTCCTGGGGGACAGAGAGACAGACGTATCTCCTGACCCTGGATCAGCTGTCTGTCCATCTCCAGCAGCATGGCTTCAGCCTGCTCCGCCGTCTCGTACTCCACCACAGCAAAACCCCGCACTGGACTTCCCTCATCCTGAGCCAGCTGCAACACACACACACACAGTGTTTGGAGATCAACAAATCTTGCCAAAGGTGTGTGATTGTGGTACATCATTACAATCCAATTTTCTTTCAGTTCTTGCGAGGCATGATTATTTTATGAAACCAAAAAATGAACAATTTCATTCATTTTCATTAAAATTCTCAACTGGATGCATCCTAAATAATGGAAGCAAAATTTATCTGTAGATATGAGCTCCGCTGGGTTGTGCAGAGCCTTAAGGAACCCACTGATCTGTGTCTTCGGGAGTTGATTTGTGAGTTGCCTGCAGCTAAAGGATGTGGTTAATGATTGTGACATTCTGACATGAAATAAAACCCCCAATGCATATTAAGCACTACCTTGATATTAGGACAGAAACTGAGGTTTAATTATTGAGTATTTTTCCTTGTGGCAAACATGAAGATTTCTGTTTATTGATACTGTAGGGTCCAAACATCTGAGACCAGACATCTGAGGATTTTTTTTTATCTGTTTGTTTGTTTTTATTTAATGCTCATTATTTTATAATAATAATAATAATAATAATAAAACAATACTGTTGATGTTGTTGTTATCATTATTATTAGTAGTATTATTATCTGTACAAAGGATTTCATATTTGCTTATTTGATTAGTGATTTAGAAATTCTGCATACTATTTCTTATGCATTTTGTTTCTTTCTGTATTGTTTCTTTGTTTACATTTTTGAAAATCCTAAAAATTTCTGTTTATTTACAGGTTTAAATCTGGTTTTGAATCCCAGATTTTTAGTATGGTTTCAGACTTTTGGACTCCACTGTACAGTGTCAAACCAAAAATGATTGAGACACCAGATATAATTTTAGTAGTGCTGTCAAACGATTAATCGCCATTAATCTCATCCAAAATAAAAGTTTTTATTTACATAATATATGAGTGTGTACTGTGTATATTTATTATGTATGTACGTATAAATACAAACACATGCATGTATATATTTAAGAAAAATATTTTGTTTATATATTAAATATATTTATATATAATAAAAGATATAATAATATAAATATATAAATGTATATGCATGTAATTTTTTTCCCAAAATATATACTGTATGTGTGTGTATTTATATTTACATAACAAATAAACACAGTACACACACATATGTTATGTAAACAAAAACTTTTATTTTGTATGCGATTAATCGCGATTAATCGTTTGACAGCACTAAATTTTAGATATCTTTTTACTAGTGGGTGCAGGACACTATAGTTAATTTATGTAAGTGAGGATAGCAAAATAAAGTAAACTGTGACATATTATACCCCAAAATTCTTCATACAGTGGACTACCCATAAAATTGATAAAAATTTGGGACAAAAATGATTCAGACACTTGGACCTGATCATGTTTTGCTAAAGTGTTTTTCTTTAATTATTAATGCGAACATTTTACACCAATAAATTGGTATTATATCATTGTGTACTTACATTTAATAGCTGACAGCTGATGGTTATTTAACCAAATTCATTACATACCTTTCTATCAAAGTTATCTGACATTATCAAGATGAGTTTGTTCTGACTCAGTTTAACTCTGAGTTCTTCTCATCATATTTTATTACCATTTTCTAAACTATAGCAAATAAAATGTGAGAAATGTTGAAGGTGTCTGTACATTTTTTTTGGTTTGACTGTATATTTGTTATATAAATACAATTTTAGCTCATCCACACTCTTTATATTCTTAAGTTGTCAGACCAGTCCAAGACACCAAAGTATAGAGGTCACACAAAGATGGTATACAACAATAACACTAACAATGGCATTGCAAAAATGACTGTTGTAAATAATCTATTAGTGAGGTAAGACAAATATAAATTGTGTTTACTTAAGTTATTACTTTTTGGCATACAAATATCATAGTTTTTTTTTATAGAAACTACTGATAAAGGGTAGCCATTTACAGGTTAAGGAAAAAAAGTAATTACTATGCAAAAAACAAGTGTTTTCATAACTGTGTAAACCAAGCAGCATATCACAGCATTTCATCTTTGCTGAGTCAGTGAGAAACGTTGCGCCTTACTACAGTAGCTTCATGTCAGGAACATATATGACGTCATTTCATGCTTTCATTAATCCAGCCGTGTCCAGATCTAAAACTAGACTCTGTCTGTGGGAGAATGTTCTGTGTTCCAGCAGGCAAGTCAATTCCTTGTATATAGTTCTTTCCATGACTCTGGTTGGGGTGAAGAGAAATCTGGCTTTGTTTAACTTTTGATAAAGAAATATGAATGATATTTCAAATATGAAATACAACATCTCTAACATGCACTGCCCCCCAAAAAGTACCACGGTCACTTAAGCCACACTTAAGAGATGTATGAACGTTATTAGGTAACAAAATATTTGGGACCACTATACCCAAGACACATGTTAAATCAACTCGCAAACAAGCGTATTTAATGGTAAAGTGATTCACCAACAAAAAACTTACACATGCACACAAGCCTACTTGCAAATATGCTAAAGACTCTCTAATTCCCAGCACAATTACCAGGCAGTGCTTTTGAATCTCACAGTCCTTATGAGGAACCACACAGGGAATCAAGAACATTTACAAGGTGAGCTTGAGTAAACACAAACACACACACACTCCAGATGTGTTGTGAGATGTTGACTTTCATCTATGTGCGTCATTTTGTTGAACTGGCCTCAAGGGAGTCCAGCGGCGCCGCATCAAAACATCTCCACCAACTGCCAGGGACTCATCAGTGGAAAGAACTGCCTCCTCTATCCACTCCTTCATCTTGTTTGGCTTAAAGCTACGTTTGTTCCATGCCTCTTAGATAGTCTGGATCATGTTCTAAACACTAACCTCAAATTCAATCGATTTAGTCCATGATTCAGAACAGTCAGGACTCCTGTGCTCAATTCAGACTGATTTACAAACTTCATTACAAAGAATCACACTAATCAAATGTTTTGTTGTTTTATACTGTTCATTTATTTTATTTGTGAATTAGCGAGAACAAATGAAAAGAACTTGTTCTTGACTTGTTTAGTGTCAATATATTACAGTGGTGGCCAAAATTGTTAGAAGTTAGAACCCTTCGCATATTTAAGATGTTTCAGTTGTTTTTGTTGAATTGGCCATTATAATACCCATAAAACAAACTATTGCCAGAACTTTGAACTGTACATTCAAAGGAAAGCCTTTGGCTTGAGTTGCGGAAGGTATGGGATCACATTAGTGTTGAGGTTCTCAGGAAATATATTGGCACTATGCCAGAGAGATGTGCTGCTGTAATTGCTGCAAAAGGTGGACATACCAAATATTTAAGTTACAAGTGCATAAAAACAGTATGACTCACTTCATCTGATATTTGTTGTGCTCATAGCAACCATCTGCATGTTTCATGAACATTATGAAATTAAATCATGTTTTGGAGGCAAAAAAAGGTCAATATCTTCAGATCTGTCAGGTGTTCTGGCCACCACTGTATATATTTTGTGCTGTTCAATCTCTTTCATTATGATTTAAGTCCATGATTTAGAATGATGACTCCTGTGCTTAATTCAGACTGATTCACTTTGATTCATTACAAAGAATCAAACTAATTATGTGATTTGTGCACATTTTGTGCCGTTAATAATTTCTTATATCTGTGCGAGGATAAATCAATAGAACATTGACTACGTTTACATGGACATCAGTAATCTTATTCTAACCTTATTCTACATAAGCTAATATTATGGTTATGGTGTTTACATGAGTTGCTTTTAGAATATTCCTTTCATGTTCCCGTTTTACATGTTATAGTACATAGTTCGATTAATGGCACACGTCATTACGTCCCACGTGACGCTATCCGATGTCCCCTCCGTAATTCCACGTATAAACATATAGTTCGTCTTCGTGATGATGCCATGTACAGTTTTGGGTGTTTCATTTTTAATTTGATGAAAGCTTCAAGTGCAGTTAATTATTTGTACGTGCATACAGACGATGGCGGTGTTGAAGCTCTTTTATTTGCCGTCAAATGGTTGAACACTGCCGTGTGTGTATCCTGTCGCAAAATGCGGCGAAAAGTCCTGCATGACGGAAATAATTTGATTAAGGTGTTTACATGTCTATACTGCACTTCAGTAATGCGAGTAAAAGAGGAATACTCCACATGTCTTAATTCGATATCTGTTTATTTCGAATATGACTTTAGCCGGATTAAGGTAATCAAAAATCTCTGTTTACATGGTAGATTCTTAATCAGAGTTCTTAATCGTATTAAAATCGGAGTATTGTTGTCCATGTAAATGTACTCACATGTAGACATGTTCTTAATCAGAGTATTGTCTTAATCATGTTAAAATCGGATTATTGTTGTCCATGTAAACGTACTCAATGTTGACTTGTTTAATGTCGATATATTCTACATTTTGTGTCCCAGCGCACTGAGGGCAGTCTCTTTTTCAGTCAACTCAAACCATGATTCAGAAAGATGGCTCCTTTGCTTGATTTTAAGTGATTCAACGACTGATTCATTACAAAAAATGCACTAATTAAGAGATTTGCTTATGCTTTGTGCTGTTATTTTATCTGTGCAGTTAGCAAGGTCAAACCAATTGTGACCCTGGACCACAAAACCAGTCTTAAGTCACTGGGGTATATTTGTAGCAATAGCCAAAAATCCATTTTTTCAAATAGTTGTATCTCAGCCAAATATTGTCCTATCCTAACAAACCATATATCAATGAAAAGCTTATTTATTCAGCTTTCATATGATGTATAAATCTCAATTTTGAAAAATTGACATTTAAGACTGGTTTTGTGGTCCAGGGTCACAATTAAACATTGTGTAAACTTGTTCTATTATATATTTTGTGCAGCTCAGTCTCTTTCTCGGTCAGTTCAGTCAAAGAATCAGAACAATGACTCCTCTGCTTGATCCAGACTGATTCACCAACTTTGACCGATTCATTACAAAGAATAGCACTAATAAAGTGATTTGTTCAATTTTTTTTCA